TGCTTCCCCCCGCCTCCAGCCGCCTGCCCTTTTTTCCCTTTGCCACCTTTCTCTTTTCACCGCGGCCGCCTCTCCCCCTGCAGGAGAGCGGGTTCCACAAGGGCATCACATCTCGCGGCACGAGCATCATAAAGCAAGAGGAGCGCACAGCGGCCGCTTGGCCACGGTGGCGGACACGCGGGGTCCCCCTTCACCCCCCCCCCCCCCCCCCCACTCCCTGAGCAGGAGCAAGAGTCGCAGCGCCTCGAGGCGTACCAGCGGCAGCGGAGTCGCTGTAAGCGCGCCGGCGGCGAGTGCGCGCGGGAGGCGTTGCCGGCGTGGGCGGCGGGCGGCAAGCTCGTCGGGAAGCCGCTGCTGCCGCAAGGGGCGTGCAAGTGCTCCGTCCCGACCGAGAGGGAGCTCTAGCGCGAGTATGTTGCGGCCGAGCTGTCGCATCGATGGGCGGCACCCATTATAAGACATGTGAGCAGCTGCCCGACTTTTCTTTTTTGCGTTTTAACGTGAGGTGTGACCTGTGACTGAGTCCTCCAGGCAGGACCTCAGTCGTCAGTGTTGACACAAAAGATTGTGGTGCTTGCTCGGGCGGCGGTGTGTGTCCTCATAGAGGGAGAGGACCGAGAGTTGAGGAAATCGGGGGAAGCGACCCACTTCGCCACAGACGGTCCCGCGCCTCGCCACTATGACGGGCACACGCCCCGCACCGTCCGCTGTGTGCCCGTCTTTGTCCGGAGTGAATACTCCAACGCGCTCGTCGGTGACGGTGTCCCCCAACCTGCGCCGCGCTCGGCGAACCTCGACAGCGCTTTCGGTGGCATGCAGCTCTTTGCGACAGAAGCCTGGAGAGCAGCTCCTCTGCTGCTCACACACTCTGCACAATTGACACAGCCTACTGTGCGGCTGCCACAGCTGTGACAGCGATGGGCTCGCCCTCACTGGCCCTCAGTCACTTGTGCTGCGGCTTGTGTGAGCGACACTGCTCGGCGACTGCCGGCACACTGTGAGACCATGGGTGTGAGGTTAAACCACGCTACCAGCGCTTGGTCACATCAGCCCCGAGGTCAGATCCTTCTACTCTGTTAGTGACAAGACTTGTCTACTCGCTGGAGCCGAGCAGGAGGGCCCGGCGCACAACCCCTGGTCAACTCAGGGCGTCCACAGACCACACCCCCGTATTGTTAGCAACTTACTGA